AAGAAAATCTTGTCGTGTCTTTGAAGACAGTCATTATAAATGGTAAATTATTGCTTTACTAGTTACTACTTCGCCGCTAACGCAAATTATATCTGTGACCTTTCACCGTACTCTGGCATTCTATGTCTTGCTCAGCTGTTTTATTACCATCCTCGGGTATATCATAAAGATAGCCGGGAATAGTTGATTGCGGTCTAGCTTTACAATTATCCAACGCATCCCGTTCTTCCTCAGGCAGTGCCGGAAAGGTGCAAGCTGGGCCTCCCATTGAGATATATTTTTTGAGCCGGTTCAAATGCACTTTGAAAGGAGTTGAATGTGGAACCGAGCAGGAGACAATTATGGCTGTAGGATGATGGATCTCAATCAGCCTATAGACACCAGTACACGGAAGATGAAACTTTCTCAGACTTCCTGGCATAACTTGTTTTCTGAGTAATAAAACTCTATCACCTGTTTGAATGTTTGAACTGGCTGATCGCTGATCGTAATATTTCTTCATCCTAGCTTGTGCCTTTAAGTTGTGCTCATACGCCAAATGCCAAGCCGTTTTCAACGACTGAATTAGGTCTTCTTACAAATCTTGTACAGCGGGCAAAAGATGGCGCGCAGGAGAAGGAGCAATCCAGAATCGCGCAGTAGTTTGACCCGTGATCTGTCCCAATTTGTGATGGGTATTTAAGCTTGTAAAATTGTTGTAAGATTCAGTGTATGCTCAGCGTTATCGTTGGGTACGTCTTCCGTGCATCCCCCCAGTATTCCACGTCGCCGTCCCGTGTCTTCAGTATTCAGGATCGTTGGTGTTCAGTGTGCCCCGTGTTTCGCGTTTAGCGGTCCATTGCAACAGTCTCTCGCTGCATTCCAGTTATCGGCACCTTGTCCGCAGCGGCTGCCGTTGCAAGCGCTCGATTTAATCGCGTCGCCCCAACGAATCACTTGTGAGCTTGTATCAGTATTGATAAAGTTCGTTTGTTTACTCCAGTCTGTCTACTACGCGCCACAGTACATCAGCATTCATCTAGCTCTCATCCGAAACTCGTCGTAAGAGTACCGTAGTTGTCGTCGTAGTCGTAATATGGGGGCTGAGCCGGTAGGACTGCGATTTTAAGGCAACCCAGCTGAAGGAAAGAAGCGGAAAAAGCAGTAAAAGCGCAGCGAGCCCGGTGGAACGCGCAAGAAAAAGCCAGAAAGGCAGAGCAGCAGTTGAGCCGCTAGCACGGGATCAGCAGTTGCACTGCGGTCCGTGCAAGAGGCAATGGAGGTGAACTGCGAAGGCTCGCGAGACGACGACTGGCGTGAGGATGGAGCCCCATTCGGCGTGAACAGCGGGGGCTTTGACTGGAGAGAGGTAAGTGGGTTTTCGGAGGAATTCTGGGGCAACGTAGAATGGGCGACCCCCCAGTGTTCCGCGTCGCTGTCCCGTGTCTTCACTATTCAGGACCGCTAGTATTCAGTGTGCCCCGTATTTCGCGTCCAGCGGTCCATTGCAGCAGTGTCTCGCTGCATTCGGCATCTTGTCCGCAACGGCTGTCGCTGCACGCGCTCGATTTAATTCCGTCGCTCCAACGAATCACTTGTGAACTTGTATAAGTGTTAATAAAGTTCGTTTGTTTACTCCAGTCTGCCCACTACGCGCCACAGTACATCAGCATTCATCTAGCTCCCGTTCGAAACTCGTCGTAACAGTATCGCCGTCGTCGTCGCGGTCGTAACATCTGACACCACAAAAAATACAAGAGGATTTGCCTCTAGAATACATATAAGCTGGTTCTTATAAATCTTTATCGACGCGCTAGCAACAGCAGAATAATAATTCCAGTTTTGCTTCTTGCCGGCCCGCGGTTTTAAGGGAAGCAGGAACAATCTGTTTTCAATCACCAGAAAACAGGGGACAGCTGCTGTTCTTCGTAGATCACTGAGAAGTCCCATTTATAATAGATCGACATTTTTTT